AAATGGGTGTGCGTGACGCATGCGGGCGGTGGCACTGGAAACTTTGGTGGAGCTCCTTATGGGGCCACGAAACGTGTGAGTGCTGTGCCGAAGCGGGTTTGTGTGACGCAGGCGGGCTGCGCCACTGGGGCCTTCGGTGGAGACCCCGATACGGCCAAGAAGCGTGCAATGGGCTGCTGCTGCTGACGATAATGTCTATAATGATGATGATGATGATGATGATGATGATTCTGATAATGATGATGGTGACGTTGCTGATGATGATGACGGTGCTGATGACGATGGTGGTGATGATGCTGCTGATGATGAGGATGATGACGACGACATGCGGAGGGCAGAGGCTGGGAAGAGGGGGGGGAGGGAGGATGGGGAGGAGGCGAGGAAGGAGCACGGGGTGCTGTCTTTTCGAAACGAAGACCCAACACCACCCAAACGGGGCGTTCCCAGAGAGGCAGGTCCATTGTTCATTGCGATAGGAGCGACACTGCCGCGGACGCCCTGTGGGGCCACGAAACGCCGTACCGGGCCGGGGAGACGCATGCGAACACCGCCACTGCGGCCTTGGGTGGAGCTGTCTATGGGGCCCACGAAACGCTGTGCTGGGTGGGACCGACGCATACGAACACCGCCACTGGGGCCTTCGGTGGATCTCCACACGGAGCCAGGAAACGCTGTGCTGGGTGGGTGAGACGCATACGAACACCACCACTGGGGCGTTAGATGGAGCTCCGCCATTGAGGCATTCGACGGGGCTCCCTGTGGGGCCACGAAACGTGTAAAGGGGCGAAATTGGTGGCGATGGTGGTGACGATAACGGTGGTGACCATGACGACGATGATGGCGATGACGATGACGATGACGATGACGATGATGATGATGATGATGATGATGACGATGATGATGATGATGATGACGATGATGATGACGATGACGATGACGATGACGATGATGATGATGATGATGATGATGTGGGCAACTCTGGAGGCCAGGGGCTATCTTTTTGTGCGAAGGACTCGGCAACAGGCGAGGACAGCGGACGCATGCTGTCGCGATGCACCAGGTACAACATTCTAGAGCGGGAAACAGGGCGGGCGGGAGAAGCTTGAGAATGGAAGTGCGGCCCGAAAGAGAGCCACAAAAAGCCGCGGGCAGCAATATGTGGGCAACTCTGGAGGCCAGGGGCTATATTTTTGTGCAAAGGACTCGGCAACAGGCGAGGACAGCGGACGCATGCTGTCGCGATGCACCAGGTACCTAGGCTAGCCCATTTCACTGGCTTGAAAGCCGCATTAACTGAATTCACACAGCTCTGATCTGCCGAGCAATGTAGCGAAGCGAATCAACACTGAGAGCCATCCTGTCGCAGGCGCATCTTAGAACATTAGCGGGGAGCCGCAGCGCTTTGCTGCGTACCTGCCGATCTAAAGATGGGATGCCGAGCTCGCCAAGATGCCGTTTCCCAGATCGGCAGCAACGCGAGTCGGCCGGCGAACAGATAGCAGAAAGAGAACTCATGTCTTGTACATGCCAGCTCACTAATCGAAATCTTTTCTTTATACGGCCAGCGAACATACATGCATCGAAGACTGCAGCAGACGAACATTGGCTAACTATAGCTTTGCAAGAAGGGACATCCCAGATGAAAGACGCATCTGGGTGACACAGCGCGGCTGGAACCTTATTGTCACTACACACTGACAGAAGGCGCACAAAATGACTGAGAAACATATTCGCAATGGCAACGGATCGAAGCTGGGCACTGGACAGACTCGGCAGGCCGTTGGCTCGAGCTTTGCTACGGACAGCGGGCTTCTGAGGGAGCCACGTAGTCGTGTCGGGCTCCACCCACGCGCGCGAGATGCAGCCTGCACGAATCCATCCGAGCACGCGCTTCATCACTAAAGGATCTGTGATGTCATCAGTAACATGGCGTCTCACATTCAAGTGCAGCACGCCAAAGCCGAGGCGCTGCAGAGCGCGAGCCGCGCCGCCGTCGCCGCCAATTACTAGGGCGGGCGAGCACCTGGACCGCGTCGCAGCACGCCTGGCTGCACGCCAAATCCTCGTCAGGCGAAGGCCCACCGCGCTGTCACTCGCGGGGGCGGAGGCCTGACCGCTGGCGGTGTCGGCGCCACGGCAAGCGGCACTTGCAGCGGGAAGACGCCTGAGGAGGTGGTCTGCAGAATGAGATCGTTCATTTGCGAGTCGACCGCGTGCCCGAAGTCGATCAGGTTCTGGCCTAGGGAGGCGATCCGCTGCTGCATACGAGCCCTCTTGGCATAGCGGAGGAGGCTCTGGTCCGTCCTCCATCGGCCGCGGTCCTTGACCTCCTTCCTGGTGCGTCGGAGAGACAGGAGGTCGTCGGACGCACCCCCATGCCGAAGGGAGTAGAGCGTCATCTCGGCCTCCAACCCGAGCGCAGCGGCAGCGCGACGGAACATGCTCCGCACCTCGTCGGGGGCGAAGGTCCAGAGGCCGTCGCTCGTCTTCTTGCCCAGCACCAGCGCGTCGAGAAGGGGCCAGAGCGTCGGGTTGTCGACGATCACGCTCTCGTCCATCTCCCCTGTCTTCCCAGGGCGATCGAGGCAGGCGTCGTTGACGATCAGGGCCCAATGTCCGTACCCGCGGGCGGCATCGGGTCTTGGTCGAATAACGCTGCCCGCTGTTAGCCGATAGGCCTCGCTGGGCCTCAGGTAGGTGTCGAACATCAGCCTGACGAACACTGCCATGCCGAAGAACTTCCACGAGATGAGGACGCCCACGATGGAGGCCATCGCCGCCCGTGGAAGGGGTAGTCGCATCTGCGGGGGCACGAGCTTCCGCCAGCCTGTCAAGGCGCGAGCTGCACGCGGGCACGGCGTCCTGCCCACCAGGATCGAAGGCAGGTAGTGCTTCAAGGAGGCGAGCAGGACTCGGCCCGTAGCACTGTCGAAGCCGTCCAGAAAGAGGTTCACGAAGTAGGTAACTAGGATGACATCGACCTCCGCCGCCGTGGTGAAGGTCTGGGACGTCCAGCGGCACCACACCTCGAACTTCTTGGCGGCGCCCCAGTAGTTGGCCATGGTTGTGTCCGACACGGCAGCTGACTCGAGGACCGAGAGCGCACCCCGCCCGAGCCGTTGTGGTCCTGGATGCGTCTTGGTCCTCTGCTCCGTCACGGTCGTGGCTCGCTGGCGCCGAAACTCGGGGTGCAGCCGCTTGGTGCTCCTCGAAGGTCGGCCCGACAAAGAAACCTGTCCTCGACGGCGAGTCTGCGGCATTGCTCTCGCTAGGGATCCATCGCACAGCGTGGCGAATGCCGCAAGCTGCGGACAGAGCACAGAGGCGTCGTAGTGGATCGCGAAGCCCTCGGGCACCAGAACGTCCCTTGCCAGCAGCAAGGGCTAGAGCCAAATTGTCGACGGTGAACAGGATGCGATGATGTCGAAGCCGTCCAGACCGAGACGAGTGTCGCATCGCAAATCCGAGAGCCTCCGCCTCGTATCGCATGATGTCCAAACCGAACCTCGAATGCCGTGCGCTATATATCGTAGACCAGCCGTCGGAAGCCGTGATCGAGTCGGGAACCTCGTCGAAGCCGTCCATCGAAATCTCGTCGAGCCCTCGAGGTGATGATGATGCGGTGGGCGAGGGCTTGCTTTGGGCCTCGGGAGGCCTCGGGCACTGCTCGCAGTCTTTGAGGCCTCTTTTGCTCACGGCAGCTTCCAACACGACGTTCGGGTCGACTCCCAGAGCGTGGGCGCGGGCGTGCACGGCATCGGAGAAACGGTAGCGCCATGTCTCAGACCGTCGACCTGCGGCAGCAACGACCTCTTGTTCCACGAACTTGCGACGCGCGCCAATGCCGTATGGAGAGGCGTCGCTGCAAAAGGTGGTGGCCGCCCACTCAGCCCTGACATCAGCCCACCACAACGGGATGAGGGAAGCGGCGGCACGGAGCTCAGAGACGACTGACGGCCACAGCGGCAAAGCCCGCCGTGAGTCCTGACCCATGAAGCGGTAGACTGCGTGGAAGATGGAGATCATGGGCCTGTTGGTGATCATCCCCCAGGTGCAGTGCCCGACCACGGCGGACAACGCAAGCGGAGATGCGAAGCCACGTCTGAGCAGCCCAAGTAGGGCCTGGCGCAACCGAGACAACCGGTCCACCTTGCACCTGATGACGCCGACGTCGCCCAGGACGTCGAGGCCAGTGAAGGTGACGCGCTGCGCCGCGGGGGCGAACTCTTCTACAGGTAAGCCCCTCGCAATCAGCACGTCTCGAATGGCCTGGCACGAAGCGGTGGCAACGTCTGGACTGAGTGAGACGGTGGCGAAGTTATCCACGTAGCCAGCTGCGATGATGTCGCCATGGTCTCGCAGAGGACGAGGTGCTGAACCGTCTACCAGCATCGCATCATCGTCGATCCCCGAGTCGCGCATGGCTGTGGTTAAGGCTGACTGGCAAAAGTGGAGAGCCCACGACCACCCCATCGGCATCACAGACACAAGCGGTTGTAAGAAGGCCTTCGTGGGGAGCTTCAGTCCATTGATCGCCTTGAAACCCAAGTACCGATTCGGGACCACTGGCAGAGAGAAATATCTGTGCAGCTGGGGCGGCAACTTCATGTGATAGAATGCGCACTGGATGTCACCCTGTGCCACGTAGAAGTCATCCGAAGCCTCGAGTGCACTCCACGCCGACGGAGTCGGCAATCTCGTAGAAGGGGGGGCAGAGAAGGACATGTTGGCAACCCGCGTGTCGAAGACGAGCCGAAGGTTGACCCCATTGGACTTCTCGACGGAGAAGAATCCTGTGGAGTAGGGCGCCTGACGTTCGGCGACCTCCCACTCTAGCATGCCAGCCTGATCCAAGCGCAGCAAAAAATCAGCATACTCCCGAGGGCGAAACCGAAGGCGAGGATCCACGTATGGCGAACCGATGCCCGAGTCCTTCCTGAGAGTAGCTGTCTCCGCGGGATCACGTAGCATTTGTTGCCTCCACCCTGACAACGTTGAACGATCGGCGTCGGACACGAGATCGGCCGTGGGAACGGGGGCCACGTGCTTCGGCCAGGAGACGAGCTCCTTGTCGTAGGGTCTCACCCGAGACTCACCGGAGTATCCAGGCGCCGACGCGAGCAACTCTACCAGGGCTGCCTCGCATCTGATCGGAGATTCGGAATATCCAGGAGGTAATTCAAAATCGCGAAACTGTTGAGCAAGATACTCTTCAGCGTCACTGCGAGCGCGCGGAGGAAGACCTGGAGGCGGAGTAACCATATCATCAGGGTCGCAATGGTACATGTCGTTGAGGGTGGACACGGCATCGTTGTACCACTCTCTCCAAGCAGCACCCTTGGCGGCCCGTCCGCGGGCTGAACCACCCATCGACGCGATGCCAGATCGTCGCTCCACAGGGATAGGACGGAGAGGAAAAACGCCACGCTGCCGAACTTGATGAGCAGCGCTGGGGCAATGCGCCTGGCTGGCGCCACTGAGGCGCGCCCCACGGCCAGGCCTGGACTTCTCAGATATCATGGCGCCCGCAAGGCAAGCTCCTCACGCGCCTTGCGTCGTTCTTTGCTGATGGCGGCCTCCGCCTTCATCTGATCTGCGATGTATTCGAGCAGCTTCGGAGAGATGCACAAGTTGGCCTTGGAGACCCCCGCGCCCAAGAAGTAGCTCGTCTCGGCCATGCTGACGGCGGTGGCCGTCGCGGCGCTCCTGGCTCCAGACTTGGCCTTGGGCGCGGCAGCCGTCGGGGGCGCCGAGCGAGACTCGTACACCCGTTCCTTCAGCAGCTGAAGCTGACGCGCGACGACCTCGAAGGACGCCATCTCCGCCACCTGCAGTTGGTCGTAGACCACGGCGAGGTCTAAGACCCGACAGAGGGTCTCATGGAGCTTGGCGTACTCGTCGTCGTCGGCCAGGGCCATGGCCGTGAGCCACCGCTGATGCCACGCGGTGGGCGTCCCCGCCATGGTTGACATAAAGGACAAGCACCAGAGAGGAGTGCGCGGGCCCTGGATGGGCCAGCCCACCACCACGGTCTCTGAGAGGCCGTTCACCGTCTCGCCGAACCTCCGCTCGCGCTCGCCCCGCTGATTGATCGCCACCGGCAGCGCCCTGAAGTCGCCAGCAGGAGCGGGAAGAGCATCGACCGCGAGAGCGCCACCAGCCGCAGCTCCAGGCACAGGCGCCAGCGGCGGCGCCGCGGCAGGGCCAGGTGGCACGGGTCCCAGAGCGGCGGCCAGCGCCGCGACTCCAGGGGCGGCCCCCGGCGGGACGGGAGCAGCAGGACCATCCGCAGGTGGTAGGGCGAGAGGCGGAGCATGCGCGGCGGCGGCCGCAGCTGCTGGGTCCGCCAGCGGGAAGGGCCCTGGAGGCGCGCCTGCAGCGTTGCCCGCCGCGAGAGCCAGAAGAAGAGGGTCCGCTGGCATCGGGTACCCCGCGGCCACGGAGCGACCCACGGCAGCCCACAGCTCCGCGGCCGTCGGCAAGCGTCTGAAGCGATGCACTGCGGCGCCGACCAGCGCAGCAGGCGTGTCGCCCTGTCCAGCCAGCGGCAGCACGGCCCGCACGTCGGGCCCCACCACGATCGGCTCATCGTAGTCGTCGAAGTCGGGCGTGACGACATACGCGAACCCCGCGTAGACCCCGAGCACTAAGCGCTCGTGCCACAAAGCCACACCTCCCACGCGGTAGCGAATAGCGTGGAAGCCTCCCGCCATCACTGAAGTGCTGGGGCTCGGCGGCGAGCAAGCCTCACCTGCTCGGCAGCGAGCGCGTCGATGTCGATCACCTCCGTGGGCAGCTCACCACCCGTGGGCTCGAGCGGCGGAGCAAGTGCACGACGAGCCGCGAGGACGCCTGCACCAGCGCCGACGGCGAGCCCGACCGTGCAGGCGGCCACAGCGTACGCCGCCACGATGCCCGCGCACGAGGGCTCGACCACCTGCCCGCCCACGCCCGCGCACACGCAGGAGGGGCAGGAGAGGGTCGGCGGCGCGGGACACGCCAAATGTGGGGAGCAAGACCCGCAGCTGGGAGCCGAAGCGCGGGCCACCAGCGAGGCCCCCAGTGCCTGCGCCCCGAACCTCAGGACGTCCGCAGCATGGTGGGCGAGGTCCTGCATTCCTGGGCAGGACACCTGAGAAGCTTGAGAATGGAAGTGCGGCCCGAAAGAGAGCCACAAAAAGCCGCGGGCAGCAATATGATGATGATGATGATGATGATGATGATGATGATGATGATGATGATGATGATGATGATGATGATGATGATGATGATGATGAGAACGATGTTGTTGCTAGTCAACATGATATGATAGCAATTTCGATTCGCAACTTCCCCCGTGGATTATAAATTTCGGCCTTCGCGCCTATCTCCACAATTCAATCCTGTTGGACGGGGATAATAACAGTAGAGGTTAAGGGGGGGGTACTTTGTTGTCGCCCGCACTCGGCTATCGCCTCCCACAGGTCCCGACACGTGACAACCCTCCAGTTCCGGTACTTTCTTGGTGCTCGAAGTTCTTTCTGGCGATCAAGGGTGAAGCAGTTTGGTACATCATAAAGCTGGGGGAACCTTGGCCCATGGGCACCTGTAGCAACCTCCGGCTCTTCGGGTGTCTCTCGGAGCCTATTTAGGGGTCCCCCAGAAGCCTCGCGTCGCGCCCGTTGGGGTCACTGTGGGGGCTGCCTGGGGGCTGTCTGGATCATCTGGGGGCGTCTTGGGGTAATCTGGCGGCGGCCCTGGGCTGTCTCGGGGCCTCGTGGGGCCGTCTTGAGCTGTCTTGGGCCCGTCTTGGCCTGTCCTCTGGACGGTCCAAGGCGCCCCGGGAGGCTCCCCAGAAAACGCAGGAGGCCCCAAGGAGGGCCGAAGAGGCCACGAAATCATTGAGATCGCCAGGGGCTTGAAAAGTAAGTTGATTCATAAACCCTTCTTGCGCGCACGGGGCCCTACAGTGTAGAAGAGATGACGTTGGGCTCCAGCGTCACCTCCCGCATCTCCCTCAGCAACGCAAGGGCCCGCTGCCACTGCTCGCCCTTCTCGCACGCGCTGATCCCGGCGCTGTAGCTGAATCCGGCTTGTCCCGTGGATGGCATCTACGGCACGTGACTTGGTCTGATCGGCTGGTGCTGGGGCTGTTCGGCGCCCCTTAGGACGTTCTTCAAAAACTTGGGAGATTCTTGGGCTTACGTGTTTCATTGGCGGCCTGACGATGGACTAGGCTTACACGGCGGCCGCATGGTAACGTGAATGGTGAATTAGGCTTGAGGGCCTCTTGAGCCTCTTGGGGACCTCAGGACCGATCCTCCAAGCATTCGAATATTGAAGCGGCCCTGGGGGAAGGATCGAGTAGAGAGACTCGTGATGGCCTACCTGGGGGCCACATGAAGGCCATCGTGGCGCTCTCGTTTAGCCGCTTGGGGCTATGTCGGACCCTTCTTGTGCTCTCGCGGGGCTTCTCCAGGCCATGTTGGGGCTGCTGAGGCCGTCCAGCTTGGAGCCATCTTGGAGGCCAACCAATTTGGGGCATCATTGGGGCCGTCCTGTGCCACATTTGGGGTGCTCTTGTGGGTCTCAGTGGCCCGCTTGGGAGCCCTGGTTGCAGTCTTGGAGAAATTTGAACTGAACTACGGAGAGTGCCACACACATCCAGGAGTTCGACGGTGTTCGCCTCTTGAGGGGCTCTGTGCGGAGCAATCTTGGCGCCCCTTACGGCCAACTTTGCGCCATCCTGGGGCCGCTTGGGATATCTGGGGTCGTCTGAGGTGCCCGTTTGGTGGTCGTGGGCACCTCCTGGAGGCCCTCTTGGGCCGCATGGTGCTCTCTGAGGTCTCTGCTTGGCCTTCCAAGGACGTCTTGGGGGAGTCCAGAGGTGCGTCGTGACTGGCTGGGCCGTCTTTTAAGCAATTGGCCCCTGTGCCCTTGTGACACGCACTGCGCCCAGCATCGTAGGAGAGATGACGTTGGGCTCCAGCTTCGCCTCCCGCATCTCGCTGAGCAGAGAAAGGGCCCGCTGCCACTGCCCGCCCTTCTCACACGCGCTGATCCCTGAGCTGTAGCTGACTGGGTCTGAACCGAAGACTGCTGTTCACGCAAGCTGACTCGCCCTGCGAAGGTGAGGACCTCGTGCCGGCTCGAGTGTTTATGCCCGTGCTTGGCTTTACACTGCGGACGTCGCCAGACCATTTCAGCTGGAAAGTGGCGGTTGCTGGTGCCACCGGGCGGCGCTGGGCCCGGCAGGACAGGAGTCGCCAAGACTGAGGCACGAGAGGCGAGGAGGGACGAGAGAGGAGCGACTGGCGAGGAGGGAGGAGCCACGAGGGGGAGCGAGGACCGATGACCTGGGAGAGAGGCGCGACGAGGGAGGCGCGGGGAAACGGTGCGGGTGGATGGGGTGAGCGAGGAGCTCCGGGGCGGCGAGGAGCCAGACGCCGAGGAGGGAGGAGGGGGGCGGTCGGGGAGGGAACGAACGCGGAGCGCGGGAGTGGGGGGGGGGGAGCGAGGAGGGACGAGGAGCTGCGAGGGGGACAGGAGAAGGGAGCGAGGGCAGAGGAGGAGCCAGGAGTTGGCGATCAAGTGGCCAACGTGTGCAGAGCCGCGGGGGCCGGGAGGGGGAGGGGCGAGGAGGAGAGGCGAGGAGCGCGAGGCACCAGGGGGCCAGGAGCGTGGAGAGGGGCGAGAGGAGGCCATGCGCCGGGAGCGAGGTGGGGAGGAGCGAAGCGTGGGACGGGAGGAGGGACAGAGCAAGGAGCGAGGAGGAACGGGGGGGGTGGAGGCGGAGCGAGGGGGGGGGAGAGCCGCACAGGAAGAGGAGCAACGTGAGGGGCGGGAAGGAGCGAGGAGGGCGGAGCGAGGGGCTGCAGGAGCGGCACGCGCACGCGCTGTGCGGTGGAGGTGCCCCTCGAGACAGGTGCCCAAAGGGTGCCAGGGGCTGCCCCCATTCCCCCGCCCCGTTCTGCTCCTCCTCCTGCCTCCCCTGTCGCCTGCGCCTGCCTGCGGCTGCCTGCCGCCGCTGGCTGCTCTCCTTGCTTCTGCGTCCTGCCGCTCGCTGCCGCTGCCTGCCGATGCTGCTGCTTGCCGCTGGTTCCTGCTGCAGCCTGCTTCTTGCTGCTGCGTTCTGTCTGCTGCCTGCTGCTCCCTGCCGCCGAGCCCTGCTGCTGCTTCTGCCTGCCCCTGCTGCTCACGGGCGTGCGCCTCTGCCCTGCTGCCTGCCTGCCTGCCTGCCTGCCTGCCTGCGGGCGCGGGCTCGCCCTCCCCTGCTGCCCTCCCTGGGGGGACATCGAGTCCTCCCTGGCCTCTCTTGAAATCCTGTGTTGCGGAGGGGTGCTCTCGGAGTGCCACGTCGGGGGCCTTGTGGGAGCTTCTGGGTGCCCTGGGGGCCGTTTGGAAGAGCCTCGGGGCCAGATCGGGTCCGCCGTGGGCCATCTTGGGGGCCATCTTGGAGGCTGGCTGGAGCCAGCTTGGACCATCTCGATGGCATCGTCGGACCTCTTGCGGGCTCATAGTGGACCCCTTGGACCGAAAGGTGCCTGGCATTGGAAGCATCCAGGGCCCGTGCTGAAGTCATCTGGAGCCGAGGAAGTGGACACGTAGTACCGAACGCGTAAGAACATCAAACCATAATTGGCAGCATGGGCCTAACCAATGTCCATACATGAATGATGCGCAACACATGTGATGCAACCCATGTATTGAAATCGAGATCGTGCACTGCATCGGCTACAAACGATGTGATGTAATATCCGTGTGAAACCTAGGAGGTGCAGTATACGTGGCGCAATATGTAGCATGCAGTGAATGTCGTGCGAGCTATGTGGTGCAAGCGATTGGGCGCAATCTGTGGGGTGCGATACACGGGGCGGCACAATAGATGGAGGGCAATGTTGGTGGTGCATCTGATGGGATGCAATCGACCAAGTCAGAATTTAATTGACAACTCCACTGCCCGAGCAAACAGCGCACCCTCCAAATTGCAGCTTGTTTTGCAAACCCCTTTCGGCCACGATTGCGGTTGCTGCGTGGCATTTGCTAGCGCATCTCTCTAAATACATATACATAAAACTGTATTCACACCTCTGTGTACATACATGCATGCACACGTATAAGCATAGATGTGTACACATAAATATGAATTCATATTCCTCTTCCTATATTTTTACAAGCCCGGGCGGCCGCAAAACCCCGCACCCCCCCCCCCCCCAAACCGGACTCCTGGGATCCTGGGACTTTGGGACCCTCCGGACGCCCATTGAAGCGGTCCCGAGTGCCTCAAGAGCGCTCCAAGACAGGCACAAAGCGCTCCAAGACGCCAAAGATAGCCCCAAGACAGCCTCAGGAGCCCCCAAGACGCCCCAAGCGGCCCCAAAGAAGCCCCCCAAGACGGCCCCGGGAGGCCGAAATGGTCAATTTTCCAATGTGTTTTTCGATGTTTTCTGCTTTCTCGCCATTTTAGCTTTCCGACGCTCCAAGACAGAACTAGAGGCCCTCAAGAGCGCCCCAAGATGGCCCGGGGGGCCCCCAAAACGGCCCCAGCACGGCCCCAAGACGGCTCTGGAGCGCCCCCAAACAGCCCAAGAGGCGCCCAAGAAGGCCCAAGAGGGCCCCGAGAAAGCTTCAAACGAGCCCCCACAGGGCGATCAAAAGTTCAAACATCTAACTTTCCGCCCCAAGTGGGCCCCAGGAGGCCCCAGGAGGGCCCCAAGAGGCCCCAAGAGGCTTCCAAAGGCCCCGAGGACTCCCAAAAAGAACCCACGAGGCCCCAAAATGGCTCTCCAAAAGGCAGCCAAAACGGCCCCCCAAGAGGCTTCAAAATTGCTGAATCGCCCCACTTGACCGCCACCTCCGGAACGGCTTCGCTGCGCTGCTCCGTTGTTTGCCAGACAGTGGCATCCCTGGGCTGCGGCTGCCGCCCCTGCCTCTGGCCCCCCGCTCTCGGCTTTCGGGCAGAGGCCGCCCGCGGGGTTGGGCGGTTTCTGGAGCGGCGCCTCTCGGTGCGACGCGGACAAATTGCTTTGCCGCTCCCCGACGGCACCTTCATTATCCCGTTCCCTCCTCCTCTTCCTCCTCATGATCTGGCAGTCCTTGGAGCCGCAGCCCCCTGGTCTGTTTCCATATGTGATCGCAAGGCATCTCCCTTTGTCTCACCCCCATGCGCAAGTCGAGACAGCACGCCGCCCCAATGCGTGCCTTACCTTACCTTACCTCATGATATTCCTCCCTTCGCCGCGCCTCCCCAAATCGTCCTCCACTTCTTTCCCGCCCCTTCTGTCCGACGTCTTGTATTTCCGGAGCCTCCACGGCCGCTCTCATCGCCGCTGATCGGTCCGCTGGGACATTCTCATGGAGTCCCAGTGGCGCGCGGACCAGCAGAGCGAGGGCGCGAGCAAGTAAGGTGCAGGTCCGGGAACTGGGCGCGAACCAACCGCGGTTCAAAGACCGTGGAGGGCCGCGCTAGACGCCAACGCGCGCAAGGGTTGAAGGACCAAGGTGCATGGCGCGAAGCGCCAATGCAGTCTTGTATGTATATATGATATGTAGATAATATGCAGCATACACCGAAAACACACACACACACACACACACACACACACACACACACACACACACACACACACACACACACACACACACACACACACACATTATATACATACACACATGTTTAGGTATGTATGTTTACGTGTGCATGCACAGGTCTATCTATATCTACTGTAAACTATGTGGGATACAGTATGTAATGCCATCTGTGCCGCTCAAACTATAGCGAAACCGTTAGAAAGACCAAACCGGTTATTTTACAATGTGGGGCCTCTTAAGGCCTCCTCGGGCCTCTCCCGGCGCCTCCTATGGGGGCCTCGGCGAGCCCGCTGGGAGCTGCTGGTGGGGCCGTTTGCTACTTGGCATGGTGGCGGCAGCTGCAGTGCTGCGGCGTTCTCTGGCCAGCACCGAGGCGGCAGACTGGTCGTACTGCAGTCCTCCGCGGCTCATCACCGCTCATGAGGCGGTTCCCTTGACCTGGCTTTTTTTTGTGCCCGGACGGAACACCTGGGCGACACAACCCGAAGGGAGGTGCCCAAGGTGAGCCCTTGACCTGGCACTGTGGGCGCTGGGGCGGGCCTGCCGTGCTCTAGGACAACAAAAAGCAAAAAGAACAGTTGGCCGCGCCCGCGGGCTCGCAGCCCAATCGACGCCCGCAAGAGCTGGCATGAGCATGTGGATACGCGAAGCCAGCCTGCACATTAGGCAGGCAGCTCACGCGTGGACGACGCTGCAAGGGGCCATGAGGACCACCCGCGCTGAGCATCTTTCGACCGATCCCCATCCCGGCTGGGCCCCACTGGCCGATTTGCCCCCCTGATGGGGATACGGGCTGATCTCTTCGGGTTTCGAGGGGCATCATCCCCAACTGAGGTGGTGAGACGGTGGGGCTCAGGAGGAGGAGGAGGAGGAGGAGGAGGAGGAGGGAGGAGGAGGAGGAGGAGGACGAGGAGGAGGAGGAGGAGGACGAGGAGGAGGAGGAGGAGGAGGAGGTCGGGTAAACGATACTGACGCGCGCCAACCCTGCACGAGCGCGAAGCTGACGCGTGCGCCAGCGTCGGGGCCCTCGCGCGGACGCCGCGCTGGGGAGCAGCGAGAGAGAGCGCGACGCCCCGGAAGCTCTGGAAGACGCTGGCCAGACGCCGCGTGTGCAGTCGGCGAGAAGGCGACGCCATCGGCACCAAGATGGCGAAACACGCGTCGAACTCAACACGGGTCTCGTCGCAAACGGGATGGGCATCCGTAGAAGAATCCACCTCTTCTACGGTAAACGGAGTCTCGAGTGACGGCAAGAGCACCAGCGAATCATACCCGCTTCGGTCGGCTTCACAAGGGCGCAGGTTATGCTGCGTTGACTGACAGATCGGGGAGACTCGAGCCGGGCCGTCTTGGCAGCGGCTCGTGGGGCCTGGCTGGGCTCCGACGCCTACCTGGAGGGCGTTTGGAAGGAGCTTTAGGACGCCCGAGGAGGCCTGTGCCCTGGCAACACTTCGGGCCACCAACACCCCGGACCTCTAACGCTATGATTTGTGTTTTCCTCGATCTCGGCCTGCGGAGGCCCGTTATCGGGCCCCAGGGCCTTTCCAGACGCATCCGGGACGAAACGCTACCCCCAAGGAGGGGTCCAGGACCTCGAGACAATCACATCGTCGGATGTCTGGGACCCCCAGGTAGGGCCGGTTCGTTTACCAGCCTCGAACGCATCCCTATCTCTAAGATTGACACGCCAAAAGGCGATGACAATCTTAGGGATTCGCCTTCAAAAGGGAACCCCTAAGATTGGCATCGTGATGAGGAGGTGCCCAGCATAGGGACAAGGGTATGTTCCAGGCTGGCAATTCGTACCGTGGCGACCCCGGCGTTGGTTTCTCACGCGGCGTGCGTCGTTCGACCCTGAAGGATCGATGGCTTTTGGATCGCCAGGTCGTTCCATGCTGGCTGATGCTGGGCCACTTGGCGGCGCTCGATCTGGAGCGCCCGCGGCGGGGGTCCCGCCGCGTCGGCACGGCGCGAACCTGCCGTAGTGCGGGGTGACGATTCATAAAAAAGGTGAGAGGATGATTAAAACGTAGTTTCCTGCTATTTCTGCACAAAGAAAGATTCACAACATAGTTTTCAGACTCTGACTGGAGGAGAAAGATTCACAAACATAGTTTCAGTTTTCACAAACATAGTTTTTTGATATTCTGCACAAAGAAACATAGTTTTCTGCTTCTGACTGGAGGAGAAAGATTCACACAATAGTTTTCCAGCCCGCGGCCGGTTTTTTCTAATCGTCCTCCCGGGCGCCGCCGCGTGAGGACGACCCCCGGTCATCTATTCATCGTCATCCACCATGAAAAGAGATGGCGTCAGGCTCCACACTCGCCTCCCACATCTCGCTGAACAGAGACAGGGCTCGCTGCCACTGCTCGCCTTTCCCGCACGCGCTGATGCCTGTGTTGTAGCTGACCAGTGATCGTGGATTAGATCCACAGTGTGTTGAACCTGGGACTCGCACACCGTGGGTGAACAGCTCGTCGAAATTGAACTGCTCGGGCGTCCCTGGGGCCGTGTCGGGGGCATGTTGGGCCATCCTGCGAGCCTGTCTGTCGCGTGTTGGAAGCCTCTTGCGGTTTTTGGGCGCCTCTGGGGCCGTTCCTGGGCTGTCCCCAAGGCCTCTTCTGGTGGACAGCCCGGAAACTTCTATTGTGCGTGCGTGCTGTGGGGTTGTCGTCAGAAGGTCTCCCCTGCCACTCCTGAGGTTAGCTGCAGGGTTTGCTGCAGGCTCCGGGAGCCGTGGCTGGAGGCTGTCTTCGGATCTCCTTGGAGGGTCTGCGCCATCTCGGAGTGGTCCAAGGGATCTCGTGGTCTTGGCGCTGTCTTGGGGGCCTCCGAGGGCTTTAATCAGTAGGGGAAGAAGCGAGATGCTGGTTCCCGCAGTGTCTGCGGAGCGGAAGCCCCAGAGCGGCCGGAGCCTCGAGGAGGGAAGGAGGAAGAGATCAGAGGAGAAGGTACACCCCCTGTCACCCCCCAATCGGCCGTAGGGGGGGAGGTCTCGAGGGCGACTCTGGGCCATCTCGGAGGGGTCCTGGGATCGCTCTTGGGAGCTCCGTGGGAACACTGGGAGTCTCTTCCTGGGACCGCTCGTGGGAGCTCCGTGGGAACCGTCGGAGTCTCTTGGCGAGCATCGGGATCTTCTGGGCGACTCGAGCACACCTCGGAGTGGCCCCGGGACTGCTCTTGGGAGCTCCGTCGGGACCATCGGAGTCTCGTCAGAGGCTCGGGGGCATCTCGGGCCTGCCTTGGGGGTCTGGGGCTTTCCTGGGGGCGTTGGGGGTTCGAGAGACGGCGAACGCGTGTCGTGGCTCGAGGCGCTCTCCTTGGGAGCTCTCCTTGGGAACCATCTGAGTTTCGGGAGACTCTGGGGCATGTGGGAGTGATCCTTGGAGGGTTCTTGGCCCGTTGGGGGCTGCGGGAAGGGCGTCGTCTGGGCTCCCTTCGGACCCGAGCCCTTGTGTGGGGGTCACTCAGGAGCCTCTAGGGGCACTCTTGGCCTATATCGGGGCTTTCCTGGGCCCTCGCGGGGGCCTCTTGGGCCGTCTTGGGGCCATGTAGGGGGTCTCGGGCCGTCTTGGAGCTCGCTTTGGTGCCTGTTAGGCAGCTCCCAGGGCCCTCTTGGGGCTGTCTTAGGGGCCACCAGGGGCTCTATGAGGCTGTCTTGGGCTTCTACTGGGCAATCTTCGGGCCCTCTGGGACCGTCTTCGGGCACTTGGCGGGGCCTCCGTCTTGGGGCGATCTGGGATGGCACTGGATGCGTCTGGGGCCGTTCTTGGCCCGGAATGGCGAGAACATGCAAAACCTTTGTAAATCCAATGAACATACATGATTCTAGCCTTGGGGGACCGTCATCGGGGTCTGGTTCGGCCGTTTTCGGAGGCACCTGGCCCGTCGTCGGGCCGTCTGGGGCTGTCATGAGGCTCTCTTGGGGCTCTAGTGGGCAGTCCTCGCGCCCTCTGGAGCGTCTTGGAACACTATTCGAGCTAATTGAGGCCGTCTGGGGGCCAACTGGGGGCTCTCGGGAACCGTGGAGCTTTTTGGGGAACCTGGTGGGCTGGTGGGGATCTCTCGGACACCTCTGGGAAGCTGTCGGGCCGGTTCTTGGGCCCTCCAGAATCCGTGAGCGAGATGCCGCGGCATTTCGCTCCTCCACTTGAGTTTCGAAAGCTGCCGAGGTGCTATTCGGCTCTTGTTGGGGCCTGCGTCGTGTCCTTTTGGGCGCATGTGGGGGTATGGTCGGGTCCTCTTGGCAGTCTCTGGATGGTTTCGGGGCGGTCTCTCGGGCACCCGTAGTGTTCGTGAGCGAGACGCCGCGGCATCTCGCTCCGGGTCGGTGTTTCGTTCGGGCTCTTGGGACCGATCCACCTTCGGGCGCTACCCATGAACCAGCCTAGGACTGCCTAACTGCGTTAAGTTGAGATGACCTTAAGTCGGCTTTCTTGAACCATGTGGCCTACCTGTTGGGTTATGAAGCCTCTGAGGGCTCCCCTCGAAGCCGCCAGAGAGTCATCAGGGCACTAAGCTGCAAGCGTAACAAACACGTAGGGTTTTTGCAAATCGCGCCGGGCCCTGGCGCGATTAGCACAAACCTGTTGTTTTTCACCGAAAGTGTCGTGCAGTGCGGAATGTCTGAATCGTGTTCCTCCTCCTCCTCCTCCTGCTCCTCCTTCTCCTCCCCGGGATTCTCCTCCATAGTCCCCCTGTCAGGCTATGGCGGTTTCCCACGCCCATCGTTTCTCTCTTTAACCATGCTCTCCCACTTCCTGGATCAATGCAACTCCTCTAGACATGAGTAATGAACGGGCTGGTGGCGGTGGGCGAAATTCTTGGACATGCTGAGACTCCGCCTCCGCATGAGAGTTGGCAGGGCTTGAAGACCTGCAGGTTCTCGCTAATCGCGCCCGCGCGTGGCGCGATCCGCAAAAACCGGAAGGCTGTTTTTTTGTAGCTGGGTAGGGTGACACCGTCTGATGGTAGGATGGCACCGTCTGATCGGCTGGGGCCGCCCGGGCTGCGTATCACGTGGGCCTCGCTGTGTTGGGAGTCTCTTACAGTCGGGGCGCTGAAGAAGGAACCCTGTTCGTTGGGAAGGGGCTCGGTGTTCCTTGATTGTTTTACAGTTTGCCCTGGGTTTTCCTCAAGTTTTCAATGGTAAATCGAAGTTTAACTTACGGAAAAAAGGGGCCTCGTTCCTTATTTAGGGTTCCTTAGGTCAAGGCCCCGACTGTACGGGGTATGTTCTGGATTCTTTGAGCCCTCTGAGAGCTCGCGTGGGCAATCCTGCGCTCGGGCTGTCGTGGGGCCCCCTTGGGGCGGTCCTGGGCTCTCTCGTGGGCCGTCCCTAGCTGTCTCGGGGCTGCCTGGGGGGCCCTCTGGGGCCCTCTCGGGACGTGTTGGGGGCCTCAGGGGCCGTCTTAGAGGGTCGTCGTGGGCCGTCTGTGGGCCCTCTTGGCAGCGGGACGCTGCGGGGATACAAAAAAACACGACTTTGGGCCAACATGCACGTTTTCCTCCGGACATCGGCCTGGGGGCGTCTCGGCCGTCCTCTGCGCGATCGGAGCCGCTCCGAACTGCTCAGCGGCGACGCAGACGGCCGCCAGACGGCCGCTAGGAGGGGCACGGCACGGACGAGCTCCGACCCAGAGCGCGTCGGAGCGGCCAGAAGGGGGCCAACTCGCTGCCGCCGCGGACCCTCCCCGCAAGCGCGGGGGACGGCATTAGAAGTAGTATAGACGATGTCGGGCTCCACCGTCGCCTCCTGCATCTCACTGAGCAGGGACAGGGCCTTCTGCAATTGCTTGCCCTTCTCGCACGCACTGAGCCCAGCGCTGTAGACTCTGACGCTGGCCTCCACCCTCAACTCGGCCACGTCGCTGAGAAGGGACAGTGCCCTCTGCCACTGCCTGCTTCGTCCGAAGGCGCCGATCGTCGCAGTGTAATGGCTTGGGCCCTTCTCGCATGGTCGGCACGACCGACACGGCTGGTTCCACGCCGTGACGACGTCGGCCGTGGCTTCTGACACCGCGCTAGCCGTCCAATCTTGGGCCATCTCCGCTGCAGGGGACCCCAGAAGCTGCCGAGCCCATCTCTTAGCATGGATTCTGCGCCGTGGGGTACTTGGTTGCTGGCCTCAGGGCCCGGACCGAGCTCTCAGAGGGTGTTCGACCTCTGAAGTCCCGCGTTCGCGTCGCCGTTGCGTCGAAGCGGCACGGACCTGCCGTGCGCTTCGCAGAAGACTCGCAGTGCTGCCCTGCCTTGCGACGTCCTCTCGAACTTCTCTCCGACCGCGCTGCGAGAGGATACGCTCGGGCGGGACTCGCGCGGGACGTCAAACATCCTCGACTGTTTTGGGCCATCATTGCACGGGCCCCTGAGGAACAGCTGCGGAGCGGAGCGATGGAGAGAAGGGAGAGATGAGACAAGGAGGAGGAGGAGGAGGAGGAGGAGGAGGAGGAGGAATAGGAGCCGCAGCAGCGGGAGGAGGGGTGGGGCACAGGGGTGATGACGAGGATTAGCATGAGGGAACGTCAAAGATGAGGAGGAACATGAAGCGGAGGAGAAGGGGGCAAAGGAGAGGACTACGGCAAGCTCGCGTCGTGTCGACCCCGGCGTTGGTTCCTGACACCGCAAGGATCGTTCGCACTTGCACGACCGCGACCGCGGCCGATTCTGGCCACGGGCGGCTCTCAACCTTACAACGCACGCGGTGGGGTCGCCGCCGGTCGGCACGACGCGAACCTGCCGCATGGGAGGGGAAGAGGGAGGAGAAGGAAGCGAAGGAGGGGAGGCGGAAAAAAGAGGAAGAGGCGAGGGAGGCGAAAGCTGAACCTTACTCCGCCTCGTCTTGATACTCCTCGACGTCGTCCTCGCTCCTCCTTCCCACCCTCCTCAGCCCCCCTCCTTCCGTTTTTCCTTCCCTCGTCGTCGTCTTCATTCCTCCTCCTCCTCCTCCTCCTCCTCCTCCTCCTCCTCCTCCTCCTCCGTCTCCTCCTCCTCCTCCTCCTCCTCCTCGTCCTCATCCCCCTCCTCGTCGTCGTCTTCCTTCCTCTTCCCTTGTTTCCTCTCCCCCCCCCCCTCTACTGCCTCCCGCTGCGCCCCCTCCTTCCCCTCCTCGCTGCTCCCACACCCTCCGGAACACGTCCATGCATCTGACAGCATCCGAAAAACTCTGGAAACCGCAGGAAGCAGCGTTAGAGACATCGTTAGGGACCCCAGCAGCCTCCTCCCTCCTTCCTCACTCCTCCCTCCCTCCCTCCTCCTTTCTCCCTCCTCCCTCCTCAGCACCCCCAGCAGCCTGCCCCCAGGACCCCCAGCATCAGAAACGTCCTTGGGACCCTCCCTCCTCCTCCTCTCCTCCTTCTCCTCCTCCTCCTCTCCTCCTCCTCCTCCTCCTCCTCCTCGTTTTCCTCCTCCTCCTCCTCCTCCTCCTCCTCCTCCTCCTGCTACTGCTCCTCCTCCTCCTCCTCCTCCTCCTCCTCCTCCTCCTCCTCCTCCTCCTCCTGGCGGCGCCCGCGTGGGGGTGACGAGGGGGGGGGGACGGCCTCTCCCGAGGAAGGCGGTGGAGCTTCTCAGAGGGCGGCAGAGCTTCTCAGAAGCCCACCCTGGCCTCGAAGAACCCGGGATGGAAGCCTCTCCCGAGGAGCCCGCTCCCCCCCAGAAGACCCAGGAGGGAGGGAGGGAGGGAGGGAGGGAGGAGGAGGGGGAGGAGAAGGAAAATGAGGAGGAGGAGGAGGAGGAGGAGGAGGAGGAGGAGGAGGAGGGACTCCCCAGGGCGCCCACAAAGGTCCCGAGGGGACCTCCTCGTTCCCCCCTCCCCGACCGACCCTCGATTTCCACGAGGAGGCGGTGACCACCCTGCTGCTGGTGACACCACCTTGGTGACGTAAAGAGAACGGGCCCTGGACCCAAAGGCCTTCGAGAGAGAGAGAGAGAGAAGAGAGAGAGAGAGAGAGAACAACAAATATCAAACAAAAAAACAATTGAGAGATAGAAAGAGGAAACCAAACATTAATCACTAAAGAGAGAGAGAGAGAGAGAGAGGGAGAGAAAGAGCGAGCAAGTGCTTTGTAAGCAATGACTGCCAGTTCGTTTCTGAATCTCTGCCAATCAATCAGAAGCTTCACCCCAGGACCAGCTCTTCATCCCAAGGTGTTGTCTGACAGGCCCGGGGGCCGTGGAGAGGGCCCCCAGGGAACCCCAAAGCGGCGCAGAACTTCAGGCACCGTTCCCTCAGGAGCCCCTTTCCTTCATAGCGATCCTGCTCGTAGGAGGAGGAGGAGGAGGAGGAGGAGGAGGAGGAGGAGGAGGAGGAAGGGGGAAGGCCTCTTAGGTGGCTGCTCCCTAGAAGACGCGGGCCTCGCATCTACAGATGCGGCCCGCGCCTGGTGAGGAGCAGCCCCCTTCTAGGAAGCCGTCCCCCCGTCTCCTCCTTCTCCTCTCTCCTCCTCTTCATCCTCCTCCTCCTCCTCCTGCTCCTCCTCCTCCTGCTCCTCCTCCTCCTCCTCCTCCTCCTGCTCCTCCTCCTCCTCCTACTCCTGCTCCTCCTCCTCCTCCTCCTCCTCCTCCTCTTCCTCCTCCCCCCCCTTCTCCTCCTCCCCCTGCTCTTCCCTCTGCACATGGCCGATGCTTCTTGGGCGTGCTGCTGGGTGGCACGGGCCCGGAGCGTCAGGCCGCGCACGCGGGCGCGGGCACGAGGCAAGCGGGCGGGAGCGCGGCGGCGAAGCGGCCTCGCAAGCCACCGAGGCGGGATGCGTGCACCACGCATTGGGAGGAGGAGTGGAGCGAGAGAGGCTGCCAACGCCACGCTGCCCCGTGAGAGCTAACCTCACGGGTTTCTTGTTCCTCCTCCTCCTCCTCCTCCTCCTCCTCCGCTTCATTAAGGATCAGGGCTGCGGACCGAATTCTGCTGAAGAAGAACTGGGGCCCTCGATACAGCCCCACCACTTCCCAGCAATTGAACATCGCCGGTGGGGGAGCAGGGGAACAAACGCGGGCAGCACCACAGCAAACAGGGGGGCGTGGAGAGGAGAGGGAGACCGACGGAGGGGAGACACGAAGATGAATAGAAGGAATAGAGAGAAAGGGAAAGAAGGGATGATGATGACGATGTTGATGCTGATGCTGATGTTGATGCTGATGATGCTGATGATGATGATGCTGATGATGCTGATGATGATGATGTTGATGATGATAATGATGATGATGATGATGCTGATAATGATGATGATGACGACAATGAGGAGGAGGAGGAGGAGGAGGAGGAGGAGGAGGAGGAGGTAGGGAGAGAGGAAGGGAGGGAGGGAGGGAGGACGAGGGCGGAGTGGAGGAGGGAGGGACGGAGGGACGAATGTCGGGAGGAGGAGGAGGAGGAGGAGGAGGAGGAGGAGGAGGAGGAGCGAACCTCCCTCTCATCCTCCTCCTCCCCCGTCCGCCGCTGGCACGGGCCGGTGCGCCGGGCGCCTCCGTGTAGTGGGGGGCGCTCTTCTGCACCTTCATGGCGACGAAGGCCCCGCTCGCCGTGTCCTGGGGGGCCCGCCGGGCGCTCCCGGGAGGCCGGGGTCGCCCAATGTGGCGACGAAAGGGAAAAGTATCCCAGTGCGACCCTACCTAGGAGTCGGAACCCCTAGGAAAGCAGCATTAGTAGTAACAGTAACGCTAAGCTAAAGCTAAGTTAAAGCTAAAGCTAAGCTAAAGCTAAAGATAAAGCTAAGCTAAAGCTAAAGCTAAAGCTAAAGCTAAAGCTAAAGCTCCCAGGGGACTGGGGGGAACCGCTCCCAGGGGACTGGGGGAACCGCCCGGGGCGCTTTCCACTGCCCGGCCCCTTTAAGCTAAGAGAGTAAGAACCCTTCTAGGCAGAGCCTAGGTAGGGAAAAAAGGGAGGGGGCTTACGCGAGATGGCCTGGCGGCCGTTGGCCGCGGCTTGCGCGGGCCGCCAGCGCGGCGCGCTACGTTGGGGACGAAAGCGCTCGCGCGCCACCCTGCGCGGGCAGCTCACGCGCCAGTGTCGGCGCAATCGGACCCCTTCGTCTGCGTCGCTCAATGGGGGATCTGAGCAAGTGGGGGTCGGAGGATCGCGCCGTACCGCCGATGCACTGGCCATGCATCCTCGCGATGCCTCGGCGATGCATCGGCAACGTCGGCGTGAGAAAAGTGGGCCTTCACATCGAGCCGCATCGCCGATGCATCGGCAATGCGGCGCGATCGTCCGACACCATCAGCTCGGATTCCATTTGGGGGCCTGGGAAGATCCAGCGTTTCGGTTCGTCCGAGAGACTGGAACTGGCGTCCAAAAGCAGGACATGACGACAAAAAGGGCGCCTCGATGTTTCTGTGCACCGAATGTGTTGGTCGAGGGTCGGGAGGCAGAGGGGGAGGAAGCGGAGAAGGAGGAGGAGTAGGTGGAGGAAGAGCAGGAGGAGGAGGAGGAGCGCCAGTACCTCATGAGTCCACGGGTCTCTGGGCACTCAACGCCTCGCAAGTTTCAGCCAAGGGTAAGGCCTAGCCGACCCAGGCGGAGTCGGAAGAACCGAGCAGTTGTTTGGAATTTTGGCCAGTGCCGCATTTGGGGCATCTAGCTGTTGGGGCAGGGTTAGGGGCGCCCGTCTTGATGCGAGACCATGTCCTCTGCAACGTGGTATATGTATATATATATAGAGAGAGAGAGAGAGAGAGACAGACAGAGAGAGAGAGGGAGAGAGATAAGCTGAAAACTATTGAAGACATTGCATTTTTCCAGGTGGGGTCAACCGCGGGATATTGCACAGAGAGCCCAAGCCGTAGACGGAGGAGGGGACACGGCTAAAGGACAGCTCGAGGACGGCAAACGCAGCAAGTGAGGCGGGGACACTTTCAATAGTGTGTTATGCAATCATGGCGAGGGCATCCGAAACTGTAGCCGCACAACGTGTCGGTGACATGCATGCGGCTCGTGGTTGTCCACCCTCCCGCAATCGTCTTGATTGAGCAGGGACCGACCGTCCCCGCATTTCTTAGAACCCAAACATGCTCTCAGAACCCAAACATGTTCTCAGTCCTACCACGAAGCGTTCTTAGAACCCAAAGCTGTTCTAAGAACAGAAACAATGCTCTTAGAACTTGAGTCTTATGTGTTGCTAACACGAGACAGCCCCAGCCAGAACTGTTCTGAGAACATCCCGTGGAAGCCACAGAAGGCTCTCAGAGCATTGCTTGGCAGGGCTATCGGCGAGCCAGGACGCTTTCGCCACTGCTTGAAACCTGATGCACGGCCACAACGCGCCAGGGGCGGCGCCCCGCTCCGAAGCCCCGCGCCGGGTGCCACCGCCCCCCTTGCGCCTAAGGGGGGCTGGACCGCAAAACCGCGTGTGCGGGCGCCGGCCAATGAGCAACTCACCAGCCTGGAGCATATCCCTACCCCCTGTGCTGGGCATCGCCTCGTCACGATACCAATCTCGGGGATTCCCTGAGGTTTTGTGTGGGCGCATCCCTGAGATTGTCCTCGCCTTTGGGCGTGTCAAATGTTAGGGATAGGGATAGGTTCGAGGCTGGTGAGCAGCTGCAGAGGAGGAGGAGGAGGAGGAGGAGGAGGAGGAGGAGGAGGAGGAGGAGGAGAGGAGGAGGAGGAGGAGGGAGGGAGGAGGAGGAGGAGGAGGAGGAGGAGGAGGAGGAGGAGGAGGAGGAGGAGGAGCCGGTCAGGGTGAGCAGCGCGCACGGCGCCGCGTGCCCGCGGTCGGGCACTACGGCGTTGCGGAGAGGCGACGGGAGGCTTCGACACCGGCGTGGCGGACGCAAGCATCCTATTGCACACTGCCCTTCGTACGGGCCCAGCACGGTGCGCACCACGCGCCACTGTAGAAGGCGACGGAGGAGGAGGAGGAGGAGGAGGAGGAGGAGGAGGAGGATCAGTGGAAGCCGAAGACTCATCAACAACATTGCACTAATCCCTCCCTCCAAGTTACCTCTTCATCGGACCCTTCCAGGATGCATTTTCACTGAGGGAAGCGTCCCGTTGAAGGACAACCGATTTTGGGGATGCTGGCAATGAGAACCATTGAAACAGCTGTAAACTCTCAACGCATATGTGCGCGGCGCTACGACAAGAACCACAATTTGAAGCAGATTCGCCTTCCACCCGTGAAATTGTTGCGAATGATAGGGACGAGTGTGCGCGGCACGAAGGCGAGGAACACTTTTTGAAAACCACCCAACCACCCGCACTCCATCCGCCAAATTGCTGCACAGTTCTTAGGCGAATGTGCGCGGCGCTAGAGCGAGAACCACATTTTGAAAACCACCAGCCCTCCTTCCGTGAAACTGTTGCAAATTTCAAGCTTCAGGGTCATAAGTGGTGAGCAAATCTCAGCGGAACGCCCAGCCCGTCCTTTCGACAGGCCTCGGGGTGGGAGGAGGATGGGGAGGAGGGCGAGGAGGAGGAGGATGAGGAGAAGGAGAAGGAGGCGGAAAACGAGGACGATGACAAGGAGGAGGAGGAGGAGGAGGAGGAGGAGGAGTCAAAATCGGGATGGGATGAGCCAGACACCGAACATGAGGGATCGGTGGCTGTCTCTGGCGCACCGTCCATTCCAGAGCGCCCTGGAAAGCTCCGAGAACGTTTCGAAGGCTCCGGAGCGTCGATTTTTCTCCCAGGCCTGCCTGAGGTAAGGTGGCCCCGATCGCTGAACTTGCGCGGCCGACGAGGGAAATCGGCCCGTGTGGCGGGGAAACGACGGAGGTCGTGGAGCGAACGCTTGGGAACTAAGTGGGGGATCTTGCGAAACCCGACGGTGAACGGCTACCCCCCACCTCCTCCTCCTCCTCCTCCTCCTCCTCCTCATCCTCCCTCAAGAAAATCGCCGCAGAAGATGGCACAGCCGCTGGCTTCATTAGGGACACCTGAGCGGCGCTAGAAGACACCGCGGAATCTGGTAAGCATGTGCGTAGGCGGCCAGGCAACGATAAAAATGTGGATGAAATTAACTCGTGAGGATTGCATGAGCGAACCGGTTGGGGAGGTTGCCCGGCTCCAGGAATACAGTCGGGGCGTTGACCTAAGGAACCCTAAATAAGGAACGAGGCCCTTTTTTTCCAACTGGGCGCCGGCGGTAAACCGTCAACCTTTGTTACCGCCGGGGGACTCGTAGAGCTTCCTGACAATCTATAATGTTGGAAAAAATGCAGAGAACGAGTAGTTTTTCAGCCCAAGCGATTTCAGACTCTCAATGCAACAGCCGAACGCCCCCCGATGCTTCTGGATTGTTTTCTGTACGAGCTCTGTAGCTTTCCTACAGCCCGAGTTACGTGCGTTAATCGACAGCACCTCTCACGATGACTCGAACAAAACGAATAGTTTGGCAAACCCAACTCGAGTATCAGACCAAGTTCAGACCTCTAAATGCGACAGGCGGACGCGTCTGATGTCTCCGAATCGATTCCTGTGATTACCAGCCCTGCAGCCCCCCTACAGCCCGAGTTAAGTGCAGAAAGCCGACAGCATCTTTCAGGATGACTCGAACAATACGAACAGTTTCGCGGACCGAGTTCGGGCAACAGACCGAGTTCCGAGCTCTGGATTCCACAGACGCACGCGCCTGATGTCTCCGAATCGATTGCTGTCACCACCAACACTGTAGCCCGCCTACAGCCCGAGTTAAGTGCAGAAAACCGACAGCACCTCTCAAGATGACTCGAACAATACGAACAGTTTCGCGATTCTGGATCGGGCAGCAGACCGAGTTCAGAGCTCTGGATTCTACAGACAAGCGCGACTGATGATTCTGAATCGATTTCTGTAAGTATCAGCTCTGTAGCTGTCCTATAGCTCGAGTTAAGTACAGAAAACCGAGAGCGTCTGTCAAGATGACTCGAATAATACGAATAGGTTTGCGGACCTAGCTCGGCTAGCAGACCGAGTTCAGACCTCTGGATGCAACAGACAAACGCGCCTGATCATTCTGAATCGATAAGGTGTGCTTACCAGCTCTGTAGCTGTCCTATATCTCGAGTTAAGTTCAATATACCGACAGCGCGTATCAAGATGACTCGAAACGGCCGATCCCGCCGCAGTGCTTTTTGGCAGTAAAAGGTACCCGATCGAGCTGAGATCAAGATGGCGAGCGGGAATAAGATCGAATATCACGGGAAAAAATACTAGAGCTCTAACGAATGTTTGAATTTCGAGAACAAAATTTTCAACCGACCAAAAGTCACCAAAAGGTCCGTCGAGATTTTTCTTGCCAACTAGCTCTCCAGCGCCCCGGAATTACTCTTAAGCTTCCAGCAACAACTTGCAAAGGGAAGCTCTACGAGTTACTCTTAAGCTTCCAGCAACAACTTGCTAAGGGAAGCTCTACGAGTTACTTTACAATTGAAAACCTCAGGAACACCCGGGGCAAACAGTAAAACAATCAAGGAACACCGAGCCCCTTCCCAACGAACAGGGTTCCTTCTTCAGCGCCCCGACTGTACCACCTTTCACCGCCGTGGCGAGAAACGCAGCGCGTCCACCAAGGCGTGCAGCCAACGGATCCGAAGCGTCCCGGCCCGGGGCGAAGCGACACCCGAGGGCACGAACACTCCGGGACAGGGGGCCCAGGACGCTCGCAAAATGCGCGCCCAGCCACTCGCGTGCGCACGCATCAGGCGAGCCTCCCCCGCCTCCCGCGGCCGCGCCTTCCTTCCCCGTCTTGCCACTTTTCATCCGAACAGTTGTGAACGTTTTCTTATTCAACGTCTTGCCGGTCGGCGCGGGCCCTCTCGCACCCCCCCCATGGAGTGGACCTTGGCTGATTTGGGCGCCCGTTTCGAGCAGGTGGAGTCTCCCCCCCCTAGGACGCACTGCTGCAAGCAAGTCGCACTAAGCAGAGGTCCGGAGCCAGACCCTGTCCCCCTCCCCCTCCCTTTCCGCCCGATGCCGAACCAGACCCCCGACGTCATGATTTCTTCATTACGTCGACCCCCAGAGTTCTCGACCCATTCCCCAGCACCCGCTTCTCATCCTGAGTCGTTTCTTGACGGCCCCGGGCCCCCGGAGGCCGAAAATTAGCAAAAACCTGCCGTCATGATTTTTTCATTGCCCGAGGGGGTCTGGCACGCTCGCACGACTTCTCGCGATCCTCCCTGCGGGCATGGCGCGGCATGGCGCGGCATCGCAACGGAGAGGGGGCGCATTCCCCCAGGGCGCCGAAGCTCCGCAACCGCTGCAGAGTGTCGCAGGCTCTGGACCCCAGGGAGCTGGGCTGTCCATCCTCCTCCTCCTCCTCCTTCTCCTCCTCCTCCTCCTCCTCCTCCCCCCTCCTCCTCCTCCTCCTCCTCCTCCTCCTCCTCCTCCTCCCTCCCTCCTCCCTCCTCCCTCCTCCTCCCTCCTCCCTCCTCCCTCCTCCCTCCTCCCTCCTCCCTCCTCCCTCCTCCCTCCTCCCTCCTCCTCCTCCCTCCTCCCTCCTCCCTCCTCCCTCCTCCCTCCTCCTCCTCCTCCTCCTCCTCCTCCTCCTCCTCCTCCTCCTCCTCTTCCTCTTCCTCTCCTCCTCCTCCTCCTCCTCCTCCTCCTCCTCCTCCTCCTCCTCCTCCTCCTCCTCTCCACAATTACTCAATATGAGTACTACTCTCCCTCTTCCCCTGATGACGGCCTGAAAGTGTCCGACCCCCCCCGCGTATTGTTTTTTACACACAGGTTTCCCCGGAGTTGGGTTTTCGCTGGCATTTTTTTCAAAATGCTGCTCCCGCTGAGGCGCCGGCCTCATTTCCGTGCTTCCGCTCGTTTCGAATCGTGCTCCCGCTGCAGCGCTGGCCTCATTTCCGCGCTTCCGCTCGTTTCGACTCGTGCTCCCGCTGCAGCGCTGGCGTCATTTCCAGTGCCATGCCACGGCGTGCAATGCAATGCTAGGTTGATCCTACGCTTTGCGGTGCTCTTCTACGCCATGCCATGCCGTGCTCTACAACGCATCGCGTACCCTTTCGGGATCATTGCCCTGCTCGACATCCGACTGTGCGAGTAGAGAGGGGATCCGCGCCATGGTAAGGGATGGGAGGGAGGGGTAGGATGTCAGATATGACGCGAGCGCACTAGCTTGCCCCCCCCCCTCTCCCCCCCCCTCCCCTCCCCTTCCCTCCCCTCCCCTCCCCTCCCCTCCCCTCCCCTCCCCCTCCTCCTCCTCCTCCTACTTCTCCTCCTCCTCCTCCTCCTCTCCTCCTCCTCCATCCTGAGTGCCCCGGGGGCTAGGCACGGCCTCGCGGCGAGAGCGAAATGGGGGGAAGTGAGAAGGAGAAGGAGCAGGCCCTCTCAGAAAGCGAGGGGCCTTCTCAGAAACCCTCGCGCCTTCTCCTCCCTCTCCCTCCTCCTCCTCTTCCCTCCTCCTCCCTCCTCCTCCTGATTCCCCCCTCCCCTGCTCGTCCTCATCTCCTCAGAAACCCTCGCGCCTTCTGAGAAGTTTGTTTCTTTTGTCTTCGGGGGAGGCGCGGTAAACTTCCCCGAAGGTCCAGGGACTTCCGAGCCTTCTGAGAGAAGGCCTTCTCCTTCTCGCTTCCCCCCCCCCTCGCTCGCCGCCGACAGTCCTCGGGCGTCGAACACCGCGAACAACTCCAGGGCAACACTTTCTCTCACCACTGGTCTGCAAGACGTGGCCCAGGGGTCGCAAGCGGTCCCTTCGGTCCGTCCTTGGGGGGCATCTCCGCTGCGTTCGCGAGAGCTCGGGCGGAGGCCCCCAAAGAGGCCAGCAGAACGCCCAAACAGACCTTGGTCCTCGCTCTCTTGCCCGTTTCTGGCCCTTCCTGGCCCGCTTTTCTGTGTCGGCCCGTCCCGGTGTCCGAATAGGAACCGCGGCGCCCCGCACTGCTCGTGAACCCCTGTGTGCCCGCGACCCTGGCACCTGGGAGTTGGCCCCGACCGAGCGTCGGCCATTATGGAGTGACCTTGGACCTCCTCCCCTCTCGACCCTTCCTCCTCTGGGCGGCGCGCCCGGGGGGGGGGGAAGGTGATAAAGGGGCAGGCCGCGGGCCTCTCCTCCGAAGGCTCGGAAAAATCCCCCGGCCTCCTGACGAGTCGTTCGAAGCCCGAGCCCCGAAGACACCGAGCACTTCTCGAGACGGCGCGAGGGCTCCTGAGAAGTCCCGCCGCCTTCTGAGAGGGCCTTCTCCCTCGCACGTCCCCGCCCCTCGCGCGCCGCCGAGCCTCCCAGACCCAGACACCCCCTGTCTTGTCTTCCCCCATGCGCCGTATGGAAGAAAACGAGACGTGGGATGTCCAGGATGGAAGAAAACAAGACAAGACATACACGTAGGATCCTGTATGGCATACACGTCGTTCATTTCTAATCGTGCTCATTGTAAATTGTGCTCATTTCTCATTGTTCCTGGCCCCCTAGTGACCAGGAAGAGACCCCGGATAGAACAATTAGAAACGAAAGGATAGTGGCCCCCAAAAAATCGAGAACTTTCGAAGAACTAGAAATGAACAAGGTGTGCAGTGGGGGCGCGCATCGAGAAACCAGATGCTCTTCGTCAGGGTTTCCTGGGCTTCTTCGCTCCCCGCGCTGCGCGGTGACTTTCCGCAGCCGCCGAGGGAGCTGCTGCGCTCAGGGTGCTCTGGGCTGCCCCTCGGGCTTCCCCAAGGAGTCACGACGCGTTTCCAAGGCCCGCTTTCCATCCCGCGTCGGTGTGTTGACGGCTCCAGGGCCCGTGCGAGGGCCCCGGAGGCCGAGAATGACCACCACACCTTCCGTCGCGCGCGTTTTCAAGACGCGCGCATGTTCGGAGATACCTGTTCCCCGTAGTAGACGGACACATATGTATACAAGTGTATATGCGTACATCTGTATGTGTGTCATGTTACACGTCAGCGTATGCACCAACATGCATATATGTATATGTGTGTGAGCATGCGTGCATGCGTATAGTCAAACATATACATACATACATACATACCTACCTACCTACCTACCTACCTACCTACCTACATACATACATACATACATACATACATTCATACATACATACATGCATGCATACATACATATATATACATGTATACATACATACATTCAAACATACATGCATACATACATACATACATACACACATACATACATACACACATACATGCATACCTACATACATACATACATACATACATACATATATACATATATTCATACATACATACATACATACAGACATACATACATACAAACAAACATACATACATACATACATACATACATACTCACACATACTCACACATACTCACACATACATACATGCATACATACATACATACGTACGTACGTACGTACATACATACATGCATGCATGCATGCATACAACCATACATGCGCATATGCATACCTAATACATACCTACATGCATACCTACATACACACACACACGCATACCGACATACATACGCACATACATGCATACATACATACATACATACATACATCCATACATACATTCAGACAGACAGACAGGCTGACTGACTGACTGACTGACTGACAGACGGACTGACAAACAGACAGACGACAGACAGCCAGACATACACGTGTACACATATATATGTATATATATACATGCTAACACCCCCCTCGATCTGTTTTCACGCAGACTACTCGATCGAGCGCGGGGCGAGCAGTTGTGAGCCTCGCGCGCCAGCTGGCAATCACTCTCTGGCTGCCAACGGCAGGAAGAAGAGGAGAAGAAGAGGGAGGGCAAGGGGGGGGCCCTCAAAAACTTGAGCCAGGATAACCACGGACAGAGCAATACAGACATGTGCTGAGAGACTCTGCCGGCGAATCCTGATCATTCTGATCCGCTGCGATGCCAATGCGTTCCATGAGCTGCGACCGGCGGAGTTCACCGTAGTGCAACAGACACGTTCAAAACGCCAGGGGGGAAATTCTGTACAAAACGGTCGTTTTGTACAGAATTTCCCCCGCCCCCTCCCGGGCGTCCACGTTTATAAACCGAGCATCACTGGCATCTTCTGAACAAACTACACGAGGGGAGCTACACATGCTATTCTGTAAACAGATGGCACATGCTAACACCCCCCTCGATCTGTTTTCACGCAGACTACTCGATCGAGCGCGGGGCGAGCAGTTGTGAGCCTCGCGCGCCAGCTGGCAATCACTCTCTGGCCAATCCCCAGATCAGAGTATCTGTAATCGGGAGGGTGGGCGGGCCCACAGGCAGCGAGCAACGGCCGCTGCCAATTCATGTGGATATGCAACGGCGTTGGCGGTATGAAACGTCTTGCCTGCCCTGCCAGCAAGCTCTACGTGCGGTTGATGAGAGAAACTGCAGACGTGCCTGCCAGAACAGTGCGCCCAACTCAGTCGAGAAATATCAAGGTTAGCATACAAGAGTCTCGTGCGTTTACGATATGGGCAACCGAAGGCGCAATAGTCAATGTCGATATACCGCCACTTCTCGCACAAGCGCTGGAACTCTGGACGACACCAGATGAAACTGCTCTGCGGGTTCTCAATCACCACGGGGCAGCCTCGAAGCGCTGCGAACTGGAAGAGGCGAGCGGCCCAGGTCGCACGAGCGTTGCCTCCGTGAACAGCTGCCAGATCCTTCCCAGCGAGGTGGGGTAAACCGAAGATGCACTTTCGCGACCGCAGCGGCGCTGGCCAGCCGGGCTGCCCAGAGACGTTGCGTCTGGCACGCGACCAAGTGGCGCTTATGGAGCCAATCCACAGCAGGGCAACTAGCCTCAAACGGAGGCTCTCGTACATGCATTTTCTGACGAAAGGGTGCATGCAGTCCTGCATCTCCGACTCGGACAGCTCCCAAGACCGGGCCTGGAAACCGGCAGCGGCGGCGGCAGCGGCAATGCGCGCTGGGCCCGCCATCAGCTCGAACACCTCCCCAGGCCTCCGATAGCGGCGGGGTCGGTGTAGCCGGCCGCCGCGGCCCTTCCAGTTCACGCCGCCGCAGCGACGCCGCTGCGGGGCGCCCACGATCCGGGCGCCTCGCGCTTCAGCAGGCGCTCGAGCAAGTTCATCTGCTGGACGCCGAACGCCCTGTTCTCCGCTGGCATCGCGTTGAGCAGCTGGTGAATGGCCCCGGGCTTCGCGTACCTGCGCAAGCTGCTCTCGGATTTCCAATGGCCGCGCGCCTTCGCGGCGTCCGCCGGCCGCCTCTGGGTGAGCAGGTCGTCGCTGGCCCCGCCGTGCCGGAGCTGGTACAGGCATGCGCCCGGGACGCCCAGGGCGGCCACAACACGGCCGAAGGCCGCTGCCATGCCTGGGCCGCCCGTCGTGAAGAGGGGGGCGGTCGGAGGCTTGCCCCGCGCATGCGCCTGCAGCACAGGCCCCAGCCAGGCGGGCTCGTCCAGCAGCACCGTCTCGTCCGAGGTGCCAGTCTTGGTCAGGACCCGGGGCGCGCCCACCGTCTCGGTCGGTGCCAGGATGATCGACCAGTGGCTCAGCGGCCCCGACCGCCTCGCTGGGGGCAGCAGCTGCCCGACCGTCAGCTGTCGGAGAGCCCCAGGGCGAATGTAGGTGTAGAACAGAACCGCGACTTGCAGCGCCTGGTCGTACAGCCCCAGGGCCAGCAGCATCGACACCGCTGCCGCCATGAGCTCCTTTGGTGCCGGTGCCCGGGACCGAGGCGGCCGCTTCTTCCCGAACCCCCGTAGGGCGCGGGTCACCCGAGGCAGAGTCCCCGAGCCGACCGCGAAGGGGAAGTGATCCTTGACCGCCGCCACGAGCGTGTCCGCATCGCCCTTGGTACCATCGGCCCCAAGCAGGTGGTCGAGCGCCTCGAGCAGCCTGATCTGCAGCTCGTTGACGTCGGCTGGGACGCGGCCCTTCGTCTGGCAGAAGTCGAGGAAGGCGTCGCAGAGCGGCCTGTAGTTGGCGCGCGTGGCAGCGCCTGCTGCGGCCTCCTCGCAGTGCGAGCGGGCCGCGGCCGAGGCCGGCGACTTGAATGCCTGGCTCAGCGCCGCCGCGACCCGCCTCGGCCGGGGGACAGCGGCCGGCTGCTGCCGGGCGCGGGGGCCGGCCGCCGCAGGCCGCCGCCTGGCGGCTGGCCGCCGCTTCGGCGGTCCCGCAGCAGGCGTGGGGGCCGGAATCGGCGCAGCCTCGGCCTCGGCTGTCGGCCTCTCCTCGCAGCTCTGCGAGGGCCCGGCGCCAGCTCGACTCAGCGGACCAAGCATGGCCGAGCGGGCCCTGGTGCTCGAAGAGCCGACTGCCCGCGTCCGCGGGGTTGAACTCGGACGGGATCCAGCGGAACCTGGGGCTGATCCCGCTTGCGAGACAGATGGCAGCGGTCCGACGGCACAACTGTAATATGGCGTGTGACGATGACCTCCCCCGATCCAGCCCGCAGCAAACCCCGAAGTTGTCGATGAGAAATAGCCTGATAGTTCCGAAGTTCCGAACGTCGCGAGCAGCCCGTCTGAGCCCCCACAGAAACGCCCGCCCCTCCTTGACACCGATATGTTCCTGATAACGTAGGGGGCCAGCATATATCGTGCGGTACCCTGTCGTCGCGAGCTCCCGAGGAACCTCTGGAAATCCTTGATGAAGAGCCCACCCTGGACCAGATGGCGACGGTGAGCAGGCAGTGACGGTGAGGGGATCTTCGATCTCAGCGAACTCCTGGGCAAGGGCACGGCGCCTCGGCGCCCACTCGTCGGGATTCAGCCGCCTGTACCTCCACCGCTCCCGCCATCGCCCGACGGAGGCCACGGCGGAGACCGGGAAAACTGCTTCGCACACCGCCATGCCACGGTTCGCGGCATCGGAGGCCGTCACGACGGGCGACCACGGCCGGTCGAGCCTCGCAGAGAGAAGCAAGCTCACGTCGGCCATTACCCACGCCTCGTACCGGCAGGAGGCCCACAAGCGCGTCGGCATGACGTACTTGTCGCGGATGAAATCGTACAGCGACCGCATCACGCTGAGCCCGAGCCTGTTGAAGGACGTGAGCGCAACGTAGTGCCCGACGATGACCTCCACCTGGCGCCCAGTGACGGTGGGCCCCGAAGCCAGCCACTGCAGCGCCCCTCGCACTAACAGCAACTTGTTCAAGACCCGGCGCGTGCTCGGCGGAGATCCGCCGACGCTCGCGCCCAGGATCACCGCGGCGTCCGAGACGGGCGAAATCTCGTGCATCGCGAAGCCATGCCGCTCGAAGGTGGAGACGATCTTGTCGCGGAGCTCCCCGACGGCGACCGGGTCCAGCCCGATCACGTTCACGTTGTCGGAGTATGGGAGCTCGACAGGGCCGCCCTCCAGCAGCGGCAGCGGCCACCCGCCAAGCGCCAGGCGACTGGAGTCAATCCCAGCGCGCCGCAGCATTTCTAGGTGGACGCGCTGGACGAACCAGAAGGCCCAGGACCAGCCCATCGGCAGCACGTTCAACGCCACGTGAAGCTTCATCTTTGCGTCGTGGAACAAGCCCGTGACGTCGAAGCCCAGGTGCGTCGCTTCTGCCGCCGAGATTCCTGGCAGACAGAAGAATTCGATGAGCGACCCCAGCCCGCCACACTGGTAGAAGCAGGCCTCGATGTCCGCCGACGCCGTGAACACCTGGCGGCCCCGCGGCACCTCGAGCCCGCTCAGGCAGTCCAGCGCTCCGATCTCCATCACGGGGGCGTGGTGGAAAGGGATGTTGATGAGCCGGCAGTCCAGCACCAAACGCTGCTTCCCATTTTTCTTGGAAACGAAAAACGGGGTCACGCTGCCTCGGCGGCGGCCGACAAGAGAGATGATGCCGCGGGACTTCAACATCGACAAGAACTGGATGTACTTGGGCCGGCTCGCCCGGAACTCGAGGTCGAGGTACGGCTGCGCCGGCGCCGACATGCGCCGCTGCTCCACCACGTCAGGCGAGGCGAGCAGGTCAGTCTCAAAGTTCTGCAAAACTGCGGCCGCCTCCGGGTCGAGCGCGCCCGAGAGGCAGGCCGCCCCCTTGCCGAGAGGGGGCAGGGAGACGCGGTCCCCGTCGAATGGCTCGACCGTGGCGCCGTCACCTCCATGCTCCATTTTGGGACCCAGAAGTCGACGAGCGGCTTCCCGGGGAACGACGTGTTCAAAATCTTGCCTGGCAGCACGAGCGGTGCTCAGCAGATCTCTGTGTACCTGATGCTGAGCAGGCGTCGGAGCCCCGCCTGGCGGACGGACGCACCCGTACAGGGAGTTCAGGGCGCGGACCATGCCGTTGGCGTCCTCCCATGCGTGCCGGCGGAGGCTGCTGTGGCGGCGAGCCGTCCTGGACGATCCGCCACCTGTCTTGCAAGGCCACTCCGGGCCGAGGAGCGGCAGGGGAAAAAGGTCCCGCTCCACTCCAGCCGACTTCACCGTCGGCTCGAATTGGGCGACGTCTCGACGACGATCAGGCCAGGCCCAACCCACGTTCGCGACGCCGTCGTCCTGGCTGAGAGGGTCGATGGAGGCGGGCGCGCCAGGATGAGCGCCCGCGGGGCTCGGCCCGCCTCCGATCTCTCCACTGGTCATTTGTCCCCGGCGGCCTTGGCCTTTGCCTTGGCCGCCGCTTTGGCCTCGCGGGCCTTTCTCCTCTCCTTCTCGATGGCCGTCTCCTTGGACAGCTCAGTGGCGACATGGGCGCTGAGCGACGGCGCCGCGTGGACGCCGGTGCCCTCCTCGTCTTCGCCCATGTACAAATGGGCTGAGTCCCACGACCCGCTTACGGGATCGTCGCGGTGGGCCGTCTCGATGAGCTGACGGCGACGATTAATGTACTCGAGGCACGTCAAGTTCGGCAAGTTCAGCCCGTCGATTTCATGTGCCATCGACAAGGCACGGCTCAGGACACGATGCTCGTGTCCGGATCTGCTGGAGGCTGGCACCTTCGAGTCCACCAACCAACGGTCGTGCGCGGCCGTGAACCCCCCAGTCGAGCCCTTCCTGAGGTCCGCGAGGGTGTCGGGCAGCGTGGCGGGGCCCTTGATCCCGATTGGGACGCTGGGGTCGCGCTTCATCAGCCTCACATCGTCGACGAAAGCCGACTGCTCACCGCCAGCGGGGCGAGGCAGGACACGAGGGTCCGCCCTCATCAGCTGCGCCTGGCGCTGCCGGGCCCACCCATCAAGGTCTGTCCCAGCCGCGACGCGCGTCCCGCTGACCGCCTTGCCGTTGACGGACACGAATGTCCGGCCCCCCACGTCGAGAGCGTTGGCCGGCAGGGCGAACTCCTGGCCGACGGCGAAGGAATCGCCCGGCTCGTCGAAAACCCATGCCCCCGCGGCGCCCGCCACGCGCGGGGCCATGGGAACCGCGGGCACTCCAGGAGCCACTGGCGGCGGCACAGGCAACGGGATGGGCACGACCGCCGGCGCATTGCCTCCCGGGCCGATGATGTCATCCTGCCCTGGTGGCGGGGCCAGGCCTCGCGCCGCCCGCTCCACTCTCGCGTGGTGCCGACCCTCGGCCATGAGGTTCACCAAGTCAGCTCCAGCGGGCCGAGCTCGAAAGCGATATAGCTGCGCCCCCGTGAGCCCAAATGGGATCGAGCCCGCATGGTCGCTAACCCTCAGAGCCTCGAGATCTGGATTCGAAGCGTCAATTTGTTCAATGTACACGTCAAAGTCAGGCGTGATGACGATGAACAGCGAATCTACCACCCACGCCAGCAGGATCCGCTCATGATAGAGCGCGTCCCCGTAGTTGAGGAAAACGGTGATACCTGGCTCCAGCGCCATTGCCCAATTAGGCGGTCACGATCTGCCCCTGTCCTGTGCCTGCCCGCGCCAGCAACCTTGCGCGATTCGACGCCGGCGCCTGGGCCGGAGGCTCGTCCACGATGGCCTCGGCGGCTGGGCCTGGCCGCGGCTGGGCGCCTCCCGCCCCAGCCTCTCGCCGGCGCTGGCAAGCGCCTGGCAGCAGGACCAGGCGCCCGGCCGCGAAGCCCACCGCGGCCCCAGCGGCGAGGCCCGCAGAGCCGGCAGCCAGAGCGACCCCGGCCGAGCCCCACAGGATCTCGCGGAGCGGCAGGGCCTCCGCGCACGAGCAATTGCCGCAGGTGACCTGCGGGCACGCCGGCTGGGGCGCGCAGGTCAGCGTCGGGCACGCGGGCGGAGCCGGGCACGAGCTGACCACAGAGGCGGTGTACCAGTGTGCGCCGATGCTGGCGATATCGCGGCACCAAGAAGCGATATCGGAATACCAGTACATAGGCCCTCAAAACTTGAGCCAGGATAGCCACGGACAGAGCAATACAGACATGTGCTGAGAGACTCTGCCGGCGAATCCTGATCATTCTGACCCGCTGCGATGCCAATGCGTTCCATGAGCTGCGACCGGCGGAGTTCACCGTAGTGCAACAGACACGTTCAAAACGCCAGGGGGGAAATTCTGTACAAAACGGTCGTTTTGTACAGAATTTCCCCCGCCCCCTCCCGGGCGTCCACGTTTATAAACCGAGCATCACTGGCATCTTCTGAACAAACTACACGAGGGGAGCTACACATGCTATTCTGTAAACAGATGGCATACACAGGAGGAGGTCGCCTGGAGGTCCTGGAGCTCCAGGGCCTCTAGCGCAGCGCCTCGTGGGGGGGGGAGAAGGAGCTCCAGGACCTCCAGCCGCCTCCTCCTCCGAAGAGGCGGCGGCTCTGGGCCTCTTCTTGGATCCTCGAGGAGGAGGAGGAGGAGGAGGAGGAGGAGGAGGAGGAGGAGGAGGAAGAGAAGGAGGAGGCTCCAGGAGGAGCACAGCGCAGAAGAGAGAGGCTGAGAGGGGCAAGGGCCGTCCTTGCAGAGCCAGACCGTGGAAAAGTGGCCTGGGCGGCGGCGGCGACGTCCACCACGACGGCGACGACGCCACGACGACGACCTCAGCAGCGCCTGGACGACGTCGACGACGGCACGGACGCCGCCGACGCCGACGTGCACGACGACGCCGGCGCCCACGACGACCTCTTCAACGACGGCGCTGGACGAGGAGGAGGAGGAGGAGGAGGCGGAGGAGGAGGAGGAGGAGGAGCACGTCGACGATGACGTCGACGACGTCGACGACGTCGACGACGACGTCCACGACGATGCCACCGCCGGCGGGGCTCTGGCGGCGGTCTGCGGCGGCGGCGGCCGCGGGCCCGGCGGCCGCCGCGCCCACCACCACCGAAGTACCCCGCGGGGGCCCACCGGATGGGGCTCGCACGGCCTCCCGCCGAGCCGGCTTGTGCCTCGTCCACTGCTGGATCGCCGCGGGGGCTGCGGAGTGGATAGGGGAGTTCGAGTGGATGCCAAGGTGGGTTTAAAACAGGGCTAGGATCGGGATAAATCGCTCCAGAGCGTTCCGGAGCGCTCTCAGAGCGTTCCGGAACGCTCTGGAGCAGCCGCGGCGCCCAATACATCCTCCAAACCCGCCGATTCTCAGAGATTTCGAGTTATCCCGATCCGATTTTGTCACGATCTTCGGTTATATCTGGCCCAGCCTGGCTTATAGGTGGGCTACACATCCCCCGAGTGGCCGAGGGGGATGAGATCCTTCCGCGAAGTGGGCGTCGCCCACTTAGCCCGGATCGTGGATGCCAAAGTGGGTAACATCTGGCCCGCCCTGGCTTAATGGGCCCCAAATAGCTCGGGAGTTCACGATCCGGGCTAAGTGGGCGACGCCCACTTCGCGGAATGATCTTATCCCCCTCGGCCACTTGGGGGATGTGTAGCCCACCTATAAGCCAGGTTGCCACCTTGGCATTCACTTGAAGCTCAGGCCAGCGGAGCCCTTTCGCAAAGGCACTCACGGAAGGGATCGAGCAGGGCGGGGAAGAGTAACTAACAAACGCCCAGAGGGCCGTCCAGCAAACGCCAGTTGTGAAGGTCCGGATGTTTCTTCCTTCCTTGATCCACGCCGCAACCTCAAGACGAGCCCGGATAGCCTCGTCACGAGACATCTCGTTGTCATCTTCGACCCCCGGTGGCCCTCGCAGGGCCCCAAGACCTGCAAAAAACATGTCCGAATGGAGAACCCGGAAAAGGTCCAGACTCCCGGGGAGCCAGCCACGCTGTGAACAAATCGCGACGTCGGCTGCCTGAGGAGCAGGAGGAGGAGGACATGAGGAGGAGGAGGAGGAGGAGGAGGAGCAGGAGGAGAAGCAGGAGGAGGAGGAGGAGGAGGAGGAAGGAGGAGGAGGGGGAGAAGGAGAAGGAGGAGGAGGAGGAGGCGGAGGAAGAGGAGGGGGAGAAGGAGGAGGGGGAGGAGGGAGAGGAGGAGGAGGAGGAGGAGGAGGAGGAGGAGGAGGAGGATTCTACCTATTCTATTCTACCTCTATGCGTGGTGACCTGCAGCTAGGCGGGGCACGCTGGGCCAACTCACAAATCAGGGAACCTTCCTCCAGACTTAGGAGGCAATCCCTTCTTCAGACGGCTGAGCACTTCGTGGCCAGCACGGGTGGGAGGCATACGCTCCAACCTGAGGTTCCTCGGGCTCTCAACACAATGGCACCCGCACACCTGACAAAACAAAACTCCTCTGAAAGTGGCAAGCTGATGCGAGGCATGGCAAAGCTCGGCCACAGGATGATCCATTCCCCCACCCACCCCCGCCTCCAAAGGCCCAAGATCATCAGGAGGAGGTGAGGGCCCCCTACCAGGACGGGCAGGTGCACTCCTAGCAGGGAGGGCCTGAATTCGCTGATTTATCTCTGCACGGGGCTTGCAAATGCAAGGCCAAAATTCACAGAGAGGGCCTCGACGTCCGAACGAGCGGGCGCACAAACGACACTTTAAGGACGATGAACGCACCACACAGTCATGGCCCGAGTCACTCACGGAGTCTGCAAAGGCGCTCATCCAGAGATCTCACAGACGTACGGGTGCGTCCGAGCCGCCGCACTTTCTCACGATCGGAGCAAAACAAAACCTCTCTCTGGACAGACAGAAGGCGGCCCAAAACCTTGAATGCCCGCTCATCGGCCAGAAGGGTGCAACGGGCCGCATCTTCTGTCACCTGGCCAGCATCAGCAGCCTTTCCCGCGAATAAATCAGCAGCTTCATTAAGGTAAATTTCAGTGTCACTCAAAACCATGTGAAACGCCTGGGCCTGGGTGGGGTGACCTTTGGTCCAACGAACATCAACCGTGCCGCCCCGAGCCCCCAGGACCTCACGGTATATCTTCCAAAGATCAAGCATAGACGATTTAGCCTTCATACTTAGGGGGCGACGAACACCTTTCACAACGACCATACTGTCTGAATATACTCTGACATTGCCAGTTGAGCGCATAACCAGCTGTACAAGTGCATACAATTCGGCTCGACCAGCAGACTGCACCTTAGTCGGCAGTGTACCGCTGGCTACGCCGTCCAAATGCCCTGCAGGACCTTGGTGGACGATAGCCCATCCACATCGCCTTAGTCGCCAATCTTTATGATACTTACCCCCGCTGCCATCAATTCCCCAGACACCCCCGTTCACACGGGCCCCCGCACTCAACTTTCCCCAATCCCAGGAGAGCTCCATGGGCTCAGGGAGGTGGCCAACACTGGCGGATAAGGGCGGGAGCCCACGCATCCAGAAACAGGAGGATTCGGGAGAACTCAAAGCTTCGGCCTTAAAATCATTCGATCGGTCGATCGCGCTGTCTGGGATATCATCATTACATCTGCAGGACCAAAAGCGATGGGCAGCAGTTTCGACCTCGAGGCCGCGCCTAGGGCACTTGCCATTCGTAGAAGACTCGTAGCCTGCCTTAGCAAGACGGTCCTCGGTCCAAAAACCAGCAGTCAAAACGTTACGGATCATACCAGCGGCTTCGAAAGAGCCCTATTTTTCAAGTTTCCGCAAAAACATCCGAGGGGCAGTAAAATCCACTCCTCCTCCTCCTAAACCAGATCCTCCATAGTGTTTAGCAGCCCCCGCTCCACGACATGCCCCCGCACACCTCCATGAGCGTGCTCCAGAGGGTGTAGGGGGAAGCCTGGTCGCTGGAGCGTATAAGCACTCCATTGGGGAAAATCCAATACGCTGGGCTCTGCGGTACCACATTGAAGTCAAGGAGCACCGCTACTGTAGCCGCCAACGGGCCGCGAACCCATTGCCACCGATGCGTGGTCTTGCTAAACTTCGCAACAATAATGTCCCAGCACCGAGAAACCTCCATTCTTCTAGCGTGCGCAAGGTCTTGCCAAACATCGTAGAAACTCACAAGCTGCTCATAGCGAAGCCTAAATTGGGGGTCATCCTTGGCAGGGCTGATGAGCCCCAAGACGGTGGTAGTGCAGGCCCCAGGGTTTCATCTACCACTGCGCATGGCCGCTTGGGCTCTCATAGACTGGATTTGCCCTGGAGTAAGCCCCAACACCTGGTGGGACCACGAACCGACAGCGAGGGCCCCAGGTTTGTACAATCGCCTCGCGGATCCCACAACACGGACAAGGCAAGCAACCTTTTTTGGCCTTCTTGGGGGCCTGGCTACGTCGTTGCATTAACTTCACAGTGGATCTCTTTGTTCATGCCGTAGTCATGACCCCCAGATCTCGAGTTGCCGCCTGTAATTGGATATGCAACCCTGTCGCCCTGAAACGGGCGGCCAACTCACGTCCAAGGTCTGTATGGCTGCACACAAGAGCAGACTTGGCAGAGATAGTGCAACCAACTTCTTCAAGCTGGTGGGTCAACAGCGTGGCGGCAGGCACTAGAGAGTTCAGTATATCCTTCATATTTCCAACCTGGGATTGGGTAATATCGTCGACATACGATTTA